ACTACTTCTACTTCGAAACAATTTTAAGACTATTGTGACAGTGATCACATTAGTATCCCCACCCCGGTATACTATGGGGCAACGGTCCAGTTGCGAAAGTACACAGCACTATTATTCAAATCTTGTACAAACTCTCCTTAGATGATCCTACCAAGTAGTACAAATTTGTTCCAGCAGTGCAGCGTACCATTAATTCTGCAATTTCTCGAGGCACTCAAAGAGCACTGTTTGAACTGTTATTGAATATAGAATAAACAAGGTAAGTAAAAATAAGAGGTAATGAGAGGTAAGTAAAAATGAGAAAAGGGGATTAAAAATTGAGCAAATGTTGGTAGTACAGAACATAAAAATCCTCCATCGAAGAAAAGGAGAACATCTGAGAAGAAGTTAAGAAGAACATTTTGAAGATACAAGAGGAGAATCGCAGATAATAGATTTAGTTGCAATCCAGAGAACTTAGTTTCGATCTGTTTTTAAATTAAGTCCAAAGTTCCTCGGTCACAACCAAATAAAAAAAGTAAAGGGGAAAGACAGATATAATGTGCAAAACGTGGGGCGGCACGAGTTGAGTTAGTTATTGTCTTACTATATANTACAGGAATTATAAAAAGTTTAAAAGTATTAACCAAAGATTAAGCTTTCTTTCCAATGGCGAGATGCATGAAGTTTTAAAGTAAGCAAACTTTTCATTATAAGTTTTAATTACAGTTATTATTCCTCCAAAAATATGTTTTCATTTTCTTACTGATTAAGAGTCTTTCAAAAATTTAAAAAATATTATATTAAAGCCTTCAACTATGTCGATTTTTCGTAACATAATTTGTTCACACAGAATGTTATTCCACCAGACTCCTTTGCTATCAGTATTTATCAGCATAAAAACTCTGAAAAATTTAGCTTGGCAGGTTCAAGCACTAGTCCGTCAGTTTAATTTCGGCATAATTAATAATGGTAAGATGGGAGGTCCACTTGACCTAAATAAAAAGTTGTATTTAAGTTGTATCATCAAAGAAACCACCGTGTGTTTTTAAACATTTAAACTAATTTAATAACTATATACCATGCTGTTTTTAAAAAGTAATATATAATTATTTAACGTGCTAATGATTTCTGTTCATCAATACGCTATTGTATTCAAAATAAGAGCTTACATTATTGCAGTTATGGGGTTACTTTTTAATAACTTGAGAAGAAAGGCATATGAATTAAGTTTCAAAATAATGGATTATTTAAGTATTCTAATAAGATAAAAATAAAAGTTGGAATTACACTGCTAAACAACAAAATGTAAGCACAAGCTATATGAGACCATCTGCTTAAAAAATTTTGAGTAAAAGTTCAGTTTTAAAAACAGTCAAATTTATTCGACAGAATTTTTCACAACTATACTTGTGATGTTAAATTTTTGAAAATGAAAAATCTACAATAATATTTAAATAGTGGATGAACTTGATAACTTGGTAACTTTTTATTTAAAAAAATCGTTCGAAAATTTCAATCAGATCGATTAGGAGAGACGTTCATAAAATGGAATTTTCTAATTTGCTTTGAATAGAATAAGCATTTCGGGCTACATCAATTTTCTTAAATGCACATTTTGCGACTCAAAATAAAAGTCAGCCAAAGAGATAGTTATGTATTCGAATGATTGAATTCTCTTGTTTATAAATAAACAACTTACTCCAATAAGTATATTAAAAAAAATTTCAATCTTCATAACAGTAAGGATTTGATGGAAATTCCATGCTCGAAAATAACATTAAATGAAAAGGAAATACAAGCTTTAATATATTGCTAGTACATAAACTAATAGAATAGTCGAAATATTTTTATTTTATGACCAACATTATTCCACCGGTTAACAGCCGAACAATTCTGAGTTTACTACTATTAATGATCAACTCTGTAGCCTTGACTTTTTAAATCCAACCCAGAAGACAAGAAAAATCTGAATCAAGTGTTGGGACGAACTAGCCTTCGTGAAGGACTTGTTGATGGAACTAACCCGCATCTGCTTTGCATGGAGAAGATAAACCACAAAACCTCCTACGGTTACCTCGACGGCAAGGGAATTATAATACATCATCCCTCTACCACTGAGGACACTTTACGTCAACACTGTCATCGATGCGAGCAGGGAGCAAGATTCGTATTAACAATCCACTACTGGGATTCGAACCTGCATAACCTCATTGGAAGGCTAATACTCTATCCCTTGAGTAACAGCGGCCCCTCATTGGAATATCGCTGAATTCTTAAAACTCTTCTTATTCTTCTGAATTCTTAAACATTTCATTAAATTAAATGCTATCATTAATGTATCGTGCTGGTTCAGGGGAAAGAGCGATATCCTTTCAGTGAGGTGAGCCGAGTTCGAATTCCAGCAGTGGCTGATACGAATTTCGCACCAGGCTCAAACTGACCTCAGTGCTGACGTAAACTATCATCTGTGGTAGACGAATGATGGATTAGAGTCCCCTTGCTGTCATGCTAACCGTGGGAGGTTTTGTGGTTTTCCTCTCCATGTAGCATAGATGAGGGTTAGTTTCATCAAAAAGACCTTCACGAAAGCACATTTCTCCCAATATTTGATGCAGAAGTTCCCTTGTTTTTTAGATTGGGTTCAAAATTTCAAGGCTACGGAGTTGAACATTGATAGTCGTGAACTTAAAATTGGGTCTGCTGCTCACCAACGGTTTTATATAAAAACAAAAAAATTATAATAATAAATGTAACAAAATTCATAAACAACGTCACCAGTACCTCGAAATACACTTGACGGAACCATGGTGGCTGAGGGGATAGAGCGCTCGTTTCCCAATGAAGTTAACCGGGTTCGAATCCCAGCGATGGCTGATTGATTCAGTTTCCACACCCGCCTCGCACCGATCACACTACTGACGTAAAATATTCCTAGTGATAGATGGATTATGGGTTAGAGTTCCCTTGCCGCCAGGTTAACCGTGGGCGTTCATGTAACGCGAATGCGGATTAGTTCCATCAAAAAGACCTCCAAGAAAGCAAATATTCGATCCAGAAGTTCCCTTGTCTTTTCGATTGGGTTCAAAATTACAAAACTACTGAGTAGAACATTGGTAGTCGTAAGCCCTAAAGTGGGTCGGCTGTTCAACGACGATAATAAAATAAAATACACTTGACGATAACTATATGTGCATAAAACTTTTAAAGTACTAACAGAAAACAATAAAGTTAACAGATCAGGACAGACAGAAAAGTTCTCTTTCTAATTCAATTATGAATGATCAAAAGGAAAAGTAATTCAGAATAATTTTCATTTGTGTCGGCTGCACTAACAACTTCCTCTGCATCGATAAGTTTTGTAATTTATCTCAAGAATAAACTAAAGGAAAGTTAAAATAACTATTAAGGCCTCCGATCGCTCAGCTAAATTAATTACTTTTGTCGTGTGAAGAATCTTTTGTAAATAATGCTATTTTCTTAATTTAATATAAGAGAATTTCAGTGCACTTGAATGTAAGAATAATTACTTTCCTGAATAACAATCTAGCAAATATCTTCCATATTTTTTTTTTCAATGTAAAAAAAATTTTAATTTAAATAAACTAACATACTGCTATAGAGTTTCATTCAAGATTGTGTTTGTTAAATACGCTTTTACGCGAACTACTTATTTTCGAAACTGAGCCGAAAATAAATAAAACTTTCAACTGAATTTGACATTTTTATCTTTATACATCTTAGTACATTTTTAAACACTTGAATTTTTATCTTTTACATTTTACTTTTTTCCTCCTTCAAGGATATTTTTTCAACTTCTGTATAATTTAAACATTTTAAGACTTATTTAATTGAAGGTATGAGACTTCAAATTAGAATCCAAAACTTTTAACAAAACTACAATTTAAGGGACAAGAAATAGTTAATTGGATTAAAAGGTACATTATTATTACGTAGCACTGTTAGAAATTTGTTGCGAGTTAAATCAAAATGTATCACCTTAGATCTGCAGTAATTTTACTAGGATACAAAGATGAACCATTATAACTTCTCAAACTAGATTGCACGATAAAGGAAACGAAGGAAATAAAAATATAACCACCGAAGCCGACGTCTTCAGAGGGTACCGGCCTCGGTAGCCATAAAAACAAAACCATTTCTAATTGAGGGAGAAGCAAATGCCTAAATAACCTCCCTCAGTACCCCGATGGTTTTGTATAGAAGTCGAGAAAAAAACATGAAATACAAATAACAAATTAAGAAAAGAAACTCAAACAAAATCATCAGAAAAATAAAAACGCACTTAGTCACAGGTCAAACATCGATTTCACAAGCAAGCTGAATGAAAAGAAAACAACGCCCTCTATTACAATGCGCAGATGGAGAATAAAATGAAAAAAGTCAAGAGAAAGAAATACGTAACAAATTAATAGAATTTATGGCTACCGAGGCCGGTAGAAGACGTCGGCTTCGGTGGTCATATTTTTATTTTTATTTCCTTCGTTTCCTTTATTGCTACTTTTTTCTGAAATTTCTGCTGCTTTTTAGCGCGTTTTTTTTCAAAGAAGTTTTATTTATTTAGAAATAAAAATATTTGTGTTTTCTTAGTATTGGATTGCACGATATGATAGTTCCTCTTGAACGGAAATACAGTTCAATTTGACACCTTATTAAAGTTGCAGTAAATTTGCCTGGTATTCCGCTTCAAAGGTCAGATATTATGGGTTCGACATAGAGTGAATTTTTTTGAAAGTGAATTTTTTTAAATTATAAACTATTTATACAAAAAAATAAAGGGGCCAATAAAACAAAATAAAAAAAGGTGCCAAAAAAATAAAGGAACAGTAAACTATAAAAGGTAACAGGGATATGATAATTCAACTTTACGGTTGGAAATATTTAAACGATGGTTGTTCCAACCATTTCCTTTAACTTTTTGTTTCAACCTTACTAGAGTGAGAAGTTGAATCAATGTTACTTCTTAAACTTGATTATATGGTACTATGATGTAACTTTAACGGAAACGCAGTTCAATTTTGCTCCATATTAAAATGGCAGCAAATTTGCACGGTATTATTAGTTCAACTTTAAACATCTGAGAATATAATCTCAGAAGTCGTTTCGGAGCAAATTTCAAATTATAAACTACTTATAATGTTGTGACAAAAAAAAACTGAATGGCTTGGCAAACTTTATTTTTCGTAAACTCCTTACTTTTAATATCTTCACATCAATATAATTTCACCTAATCGCCAAACAAATCTCGAATTTCTATCTCTCTTTTAGCGAGAGGGATTTCCATGTCTTTCTCGAAAGACTCGAGTTCTTTCAAAAATACAGGCTCTTCTTTCAAAAGACTTACCAAATAGCAATAGAGTCTCGATTTGCTTATTTTTGATGTCTCATAACTGGGAGTTATCTCTCGAAATAAGTAATCTCGGAACTTAAATGCAGTACTTTTACACACAGGTTTTGTAAGCAACAATTTTCTACCGCCGCTCTTTCCTTCGGGATAATGAAAATCGATTCTGAAGCTGCAAATTTCAGGCAAATACCAAACTTCGTTAATGGAATGGTCATCAGGAACTGTAGGATCCAATGAAAAAGCTTTTTTAAAGCATACTATTCTTTTTTCCTTCTTAACTTTATCCGCCTCTTTGATCTGTTTTATACCGGTGTCATAAATTTGGAGACATTCCTTTTCTATAATTTCAGATTTGGCATGATTACCGAATTCATTCAAAGCATCCATTGGAAATTCAAACTCTTCAAGACATGTGAAGTTGCAACCGGGAAATTTTTCAGCTAGTCGAAAATTCTCTGCTAGTTTAACAGCGTGAGAAGGCATTTTATCCAAATTCTCATCTAATTTCTTTTTATAAACACGAATGGAAGGCTTGCCGTATTCAAGACGTTGCTGATATCGCATGTTCTTTCTACGTTTTCGTATAATTTTCCGTTTTGAGTCCAGAATGTTCTTTTCATGGCTGTCACTAAAATCTCGCATAAAAAGCAAATCAATGTTGGCTTCATTTGAAAATTTTTCCCATAATCTAAATAAGTATAATTTGTAATTTGTTTGTAGCTCCTCGTCTGATAAATCGTCGAAATTTATATCGTCAAAAACTTCTATGTCTTTACTACCCTTTTTCGATTTGACTTTTAATGTTCCTTCCTGTTGTACTTCTATTTCATCATCTTCAAGAGTGCTTTTGTGAGATGCATAATGTTTAATTTCTATATCATCAGAGCTATACGTGTCTTGTTCACTTGCATTATCTTCGAGTTCATTAGTGATGTCGTTCACCAAACTTATCTGATGCGTACGAAAATTGCTGTCATCATCAATATCTTCTTTCACAAAATCATCCGGAAAGTCTTTATTTATTTTATTTCTCGTGTTCTTTTCAAAAGATTCAGAGCTTTCCTTAAAATTTTTATCAACCACAATGGAAATATTTTCTCTTCCAATTTCCGTAACATTATCTTCTTCCCTTTCAGAATCAGAATCCGTTGAAACGTATCTTTCAGCGGGATCTATTATTTGCAGAAATGTTTGCATATCTAGTTCAGAAAATTCAATGTCCTCAAAAAGAATTTCGAAATTTTCGAACATTGATGGACCGATATGATATTTAACTTCAAAAGCTTCTTTTTCTTTGCCACTATCATCTAAAAGATCTTGTTTTCCAGCATTAAACATTTTCTTATCTTCAAGAACATTTTCATCGTCATAAACTATTTCTCTTAAATTCAAACGATCAATTCGATCGACAAAAATTTCTTTAACAAATTTATTATTCCATTCCTTAGAAAGCAAATTATCACTCCGCATGTTTGAATAAAATTTAATAGTTTGAATAAACTTGGGATTTTCTTTCAGACAGTATTCATGTTCTTTCATGGCGTCATCTCGGCCCTTAGAAAACATGTCTTTCGCTATCATAATATTGCAATCAATCAAACGATGCTGTAATTTGTCTTTCCTACCTTCAAAGAATAACAATATTTTTTCAGGTACTTTATAACTACTGTCTTTATAATAAGTAATTTTATGAACTTGACCATTTTTTATAGAATCACTATTATGTTTTATCGCCTCTGCCATGTTGTACCGAATTAACTTACCATCAGGGGAGAATCGGTTTTCGAACTCTTCTTGCGTTATTTCCATCTCACGTATCCACGTATCAGGCATACGAATTTGAGAACCATCTCTTTTGGATTTAATCTTGTAAGTCGGTAGAAATTGTTCCCATTCCATAATTTCAGTCAAGTCAAAGTTAATATCTTTGCAAGAACCCTTATATTCACCTCTATAGTACCAAAAGTTTTTATTGTTCCACAAGAATTCCACGCCTAAATAATTAGGTTCATCAATTAAAAAAGATTCACCACTTGATGCTTCAATAAAAATATTTTTATTTTCAGAACTTCGTAAAAGAACCCAAAAGTGAATAGCCTTTTCTGAAGTAGTTACATCAATTTTTTCTGGTATTATTTTCGTAGTTTCTTTCGTAACATCATAACTCCCTGCCATCCAGTATTTCTTAGCTGAATAGAAATCAAGGTAGTATTTTCCTGTCGGTTTAATGTCTTTATTTGCGTAAAGTTCCCTATAATGTTTAAATTTCTCCGATATATGATCCAGAGGATTTGACGTACTTTTCTGTAGCTTTTCAGTCACAGCCTGGGTAGCGTATCCTTGAACCACGAAAGCATCATAGCTTGATGATAAAAGAAAAGAACATAAAAGCATACACATTTCTAAACTAGTACCTTCTCTTTTTTTCAAAATGGCGTCTAGGGAGAAAAGTTGATAAGGAATCTCTTGTGGAAATTTTGCGGGTTTGTATTCCACGTAATCAGCTAAAAATTGAGCGCTATTTTTCCACTCATTTAGTGAAATAGTCTTAGTAATCCTTGTTGGACAGAGTGTTGTACACGTAAGTTTCCTTATTTTGCATTCATTTTCAAAATATAACGGAGGTTCGGGTCTTGCCGGGTACAAAAAGCGAAACTGTCGAAGAAAATTATCAGCACGTTTCAAGACTTCGATTTCTCTTTCATTATTTTGCGTATAAGATGATGGAAAACTTATTTCCATGATGTGTAATAGACAGAAAACTTGCGCTTAATAAGAAAGAAAAAAAGAAACAATATTTTATCGATAACGTTCATCAGAAATATCATGCCTATGCTGAGTTTCAAAATTTCATACTATATTTATGTATGGATGAAAGTGCCGCATCGTTTAACTTCTCCGAGTAGATTCAACCGCGGCACATATTATAAGCTCCTAGTATTTATGTACTTATCTCTATAGGCTACCTAGTAGACATCAGCGGATTTACTATTAGAAAATTCCTATTATACAAAAGTAATTTCCTAGCGTAATAGCCCCGTTATTGTTAAATCTCGAAATGGGCTATAGGTGGCGTAGAGCAGAACTCTCTACCCATGGCAACACAACATTTCGCATGCGTTCACCTGTAGAGTGTGGAGAGTCATCGAAGAAGGATGTACATTAGTTTCTATCTTGATTTTTAACTAGATTAAAATCTTTTAAGTTAGGAAACTATATAGAACTGAAAACTGCCATAAACATAGCTCTTAAAGAAAGCATCATGGAAATTTTAAAAAAATATTTTTAACAATTAAATACGAAAAATATTAAGAAAAGGAAAAATATCATAGCACATTCCTATACAACTGAAAAAAGGGAAGAATCGAAGGTATGGAACCGGTCTTCGAGCGTTGTGATCGCGAATAAAGGTCAGATTAAAACACAACATGCCTTTGTTCAGTTTTTTTGAAAAACGATTTAAACAAAATTCTAATTGTTTCTTAGGATCGTTATCATTGAAAAAAATACATCGCACAAACCTCAAATGTTGGAGGGTATGTAGAATGCTGTTCACAATACGCACAGGATTGGAAGATTTTAACCTTAAATAAACCTTTTGAAATTGTTACTACGTAAATAAACCTTTTGAAATTGTTACTAAAAAAATGGCGCAAGTTTGGCTTAAGTTACAATCAAAATCATGCGCAACGCCAATCCGAATACAGGAATAATACAGAATTTGAAACCTTAAGTCTTTATAATTTGAATAACTGTTATGTGGAGCCGCGATGGCTCAGTGGATAGAGCGTTCGCCTTCCAATGAGGCGAACCAGGTTCGAATCCCAGTCGACACGAATTCTGCATCCGGCTTGCACTGAACACAGTGCTGACGTGAAATATCCTCAGTGGTAGACGGATCATGGGTTAGAGTCCCCTTGCTGTCCAGGCTAACCGTGGGAGGTTCTCGTGGTCTTCCTCTCCGTGCAACGCAAATGCGGATTAGATCCATCTAAAAGTCCTCCACGAAGTCAAAATTTCTCCCAATACTCGATCCAGGAGTTCCCTTGCCTTGTGGATTGGGTTCAAAATTACAAGGCTACGGAGTTGAACATCAGTAGTTGTAAGTCCATAAAATTGGGTCGGCTGTCCAACAACGGTTATAAAATAAAATAACTGTTACGAATTGCGAGGTATTATCAATCTTCCAAATAAAAATGTTAAGAAAACTGAGATTTCTATGAACTTCAAATTTACTTTGGAGTTCAACTTATTCTAAAGATTAAATATTTTTTCGCACGAAGAATTTTTTAAATTTATTCCAAAACACTTATCATTAAAACCAATGATAAACTCCAAGCAGAATAGATTTAGTCAAAAATTCCAAGGGTTATCATGATTACACTTTTGCAGCCGATTTAAAAATAAAAAAAGTAAATAGTGTAATTACCCGCATGGCACTAAAGTCAACCTTATGCGCTAGCGGACCACATCAATAAGTTCCAGAAATCCCACTGTATACACATTTGCTAGATGATACAGGTAAAGGGATTCCTTAGCCGGAGATAAAGTAGTTTTAATGTAGGTTGCTAAGTTTTGATAAGTTAAGACCTAATATTATTAAGTTGGTTAAATTTATTAAGTTAGAGTTTTTGATACGCTAGATTTAGTGAAAAATTGAAATATGATTACAATCCGTTCAATTTATTTTATACGTTTTTATTATAGTCTGGAACAAGTAAAATATTGATATAAACATTAACATAATAACAATATTAAAAAAAATTTACATTACAATAGGAATAAATGACACTTTGGCCATAATGTGATATTTGATGTTATTTTTCTTTTGGCTCAACTGATTAAATTCTACTGAACATTAATATAATGAGAAATATTCGTAGCTGCTCTTCTTAAGATAACTTCTAAAACTTGATTTTGCGTTTTATATTTTGGGTCTTAATAAAACACTAGACTAACTGTTCGATATTTATTAATTACTTGCTATCATCTGAAATAACTGACATTTTACAGCCTTAAAAAAAAATTCCCTAAGCTTTGTTTTAAACTGTATGTGATAGAAATGCACAGAACACAAGTCTAATTGCGACAGTTGATACCTGATGAACCGATAATGCACTAATAAAGAAACTAATTACACTACACGAGTCTATTAATTTCAAAGTTGTGTTGATTTATCAATGGCATCTGCGAGTAAGGATACTAAAGAAATGCAACTACAATTTACCAATAATTAAATCTCTAAAACCCACAAAAATATGAAGTGATTGAAAATGTTTGAACCTGATTACGACCAGACTTGAAAAAATATGACTTTGGAATTCGCTAAATGTGAACATTTTGATTTCATTGACAATCTCTCCGGATATTATAGCAAAACAATTGTTTTATCAATGCTATGATTATAGCCTGACTTTCTTTAAACCCAACCATTAACGTAATTGATAAAGAAATAAAGTGTGTTACATCACATTCAGTAATTGTTTGTGATGGCAGCCACTGTTTAAAATAAATTACTATAAATTTTATCGAAATAAAGTTAGAATTGCTTCCCATTTGATTGCAAAAAAAAGTGTGAAATTACGTAAATTCTAAAATAATGTTTCTTCAGAAAAGCACTTAATAAAATTTAAAATATGTTTTTTAAGTTATTTTGCTAACAAAAAGTTTCTTTAAAATTTTAACTAATTCTTAATAAAAAAAATTTAAGGATTATTTCAAAAAATTTTCTTAAAAAAAATTTTATCAAAAAAAATTTTTTGATTTCTTAAAAAAAATTTTAAGGATTATCTCGTCATTGGTGATGAAATACACTGATATTAAAATTGAAAATGCTTTAAAAAATTAAGAAAGTAACTATTAAAAAACTCTAAACTAAACTCAGCGGCGCCACAGCCCATAGAGGGCCAAGGCCTACTGTGCCCATCTCAGTTTTCTTGACCTTTGGGCTCTGGGGTGCAGGTTAGGTGGTCAGCCGAACGCGAAATCCCCAGTGTTTAGTTCTTAAGCATGCTTGGTACTCATTTATCGACCCACTGAAGGGATGAAAGGCCGAGTCAACCTTGCCCGTCCCGAGGATCGAACCAGGGACCTGTGGTACGACAGTGCGAATCGCTACTGCTCAGCCACCGGGCGTCAACTATTAAAAGCTTTCATTGATAATACAAATAAATTTACCGAATTATTGATGTAATGTGACTCTCCCACACATAAGATTAAAGACCTCTAGTTCACAGATCATACAAAATTTGAACCCTAAATTTAACATATTTGTCAAACATGACTTTCCTATACTTTTAATATTCAATAAAAACAGCCTGAAAATGCAACTATAATTTGTAAAAATAAGAAAACAATTAATAATACAAATACATTTACCGAATTATTAATATTATATGGCCCTCCCACGCGTAAGATTACTAGTTCATAGACCGTACAAAATTTCAGCCCCAACAGTAACATTTATCACGCATCTTCCTTATACTTGGATAAAAGCGCAGTGAAAATGGAACTATTACATGTTTGAATAATAACAAAGAAACAAAAAACAAATCAAAATTGACAATTTATTCATCACATATCCTGGTCTAGCAACACTTTACAAAATTTCAATTTGTACGCCCACCAGGTAGTATATAAAACCATATTTTACATCGCCTTCCATATTAATCAGCAAAAGAACTTCAATATTAAAAACAACAGCCTATGCAGTAAAAGGTTTTCTTTGCTAAAACAAAAATCATAACTTAAAATACGCAACAAATGACAAAACAATCACTAAAACAAAACATATATATTTATATATATATAATATTTCAATGGAAGCTTAGTCTTATTAGATTTATTTCTGTCCACTATATACAATATGCCACAGTTATATCACTCTAGATAAATCAGTTCTGATAACTTTAATCAGAATGATTTTAAATTTAAAAAATAAAGCTAATTTACAATGCACACATTTAGCACATGAAAGAAAAGAAAAAACTGTTAATGATGTTACAGTAACTAGGTATACACATATTATAAAAATAAAATAGATTTGATAATAACAAACACAAGCCAAAGCCAATAAGCATAGCCATATTTCATTTTATAACTTCAGATAATTTTTTCTTCGGAACAACTGATTTTCTCGCAAAGTAATTGAGAGATATTTTACTTATGCACTCGAATTAAGATGAACAAATTTCAGACATTTGTACTTTTATATACCTGCCAAATTGCTGGAGAAACCAAAAAAGGAAACTTTTGAATCAAAATTGTTTATTACTATTTATACTTTTAAGCAGATAAATTCCAAAAAAGCAAATAAAATAATTTTAAAAGCACTGGCATTTTTCTTATTATACTACATAAATATTGATTCTCTATGTTTTTCCCAAGTACTTTTAAAATTTATTATTTCTGACATTTCAAGAATGGTGAATGAATAGCGAATATTCAGTTGATCAACATCTCCAACTGTATGAGGAATAGAATCATAATTATTTAATCAAAAACAAAAAATGATATATGATATTAATTCTTATTGTGTCCTATGTCTAAATTTTTAAAAACATTTTTTATAATTATATATTTTATAACTTTGTATTAATTTGATTTATACATTGATATAATTATAAATTGAAAATTTTTTACATCAATCTGAATTTTTTTAAACAAAGCTACTAGTCTGAAAATTTGAAACATTTTTCAACTATGTACGTAAATTCACAAAAAGATGCTTAGATGTTTACATGAAAAATTCATAAAATAAAAAGCGTAAAAGACTTTTAAAAAGAATTTAATTTTAATATTTCTACAAAATGGCAGGTATGTTTGATTATATATATATATA